TTTTGTTAATTCTTTGCATTCTGTTATACTTTCTCCTTTCTTAATTAGATTAGCAATCAAGCTATTTTTCTTTTCTTTTTTTAACAAATTAACTGATATAGGGAACTAAATCATAGGGAACTAAATCCTTAACTTTTCGAAAAAGAAATTTTTTTCTCGATTTTGTATTATAGGGAACTAAATCCTCGGGAACTAAATCATGTAAGCCCTTTTTCCTATAGTTTTATTTATTTTATTTATTGACATGCGTATAAAAGGAAAAGGAAAAATGATAAGATGAAAAGAAAGAAAGATGGAAGCGGTACCTTTTATTGGGGCACAAAAACGCACTCGAGGTGTAGAGAAGGAAAGAAGATCATGCCACTCAGGAGAAAAGCAATAAGTCGACAGTTCACTACGTTCACTCAGTCAGCTTAATAAATTATAATTACTATTTTTTGAGCTGGCTTTTTCCAGTCATTTATTTCCTTTAGACACCATAATAAATACGTATCTTACCTTCCAGATAAACTTACTTTCCTACGGTAAACCAGAAAAAGGATGGAGTCGCATGTTGTAATGACATCAGTACCTAGTATTACCTGTGATCATTAACCGAAACGTAGTTGGAAATTTCTTTTTCATTCTTATTCTTACATCAGTTCAGGCTAAATGAAACATAAAATGTAAATAAAATGTGTACACGTATGATGAGATTTAGATAAAATACGAAACCAATAATCGTTTAGTATAGCGTGTCAACATCTTAGAAGAAGAAAATGTAAGGTACATTATACCTTGCTAGCAGATTGACTTTTGAATAATGAGAAATAACCATTTAGAAAATAGCCAGGGCTCATTCTTTGAACAGATAATAGCACTGATTTCCAACGTGTAGTTTTCGAGATATAGTTAATGTTCGATAAAAGGGAAGTTGAAAAGTCATTTCGACAGCAAAAAGATATATCACCTTACTTTTGTTTGAGGCATTGCGCCTCGAACGTCCCACAGGAGAGACGCTCCTTCTCTCCAACAGAACTCAACTTCTAGGGAATAAAATCGTCATATTTGGAATCAGGATCAACAAACGAATCGACTCATGTGTATTTCGAAATTTTCAGTTCATTTTCATCTTTTGGTGAAAAATTCGGAAATTAAAGTACTCGAATAAGATAGAGATACACATCGATTCGGCTTTTGATGCTGATTCCAAACATTATACTTTTATTTCATAGTAGTTGAGTTCTGGTGGAGAAAATTGAGAATTACGAGCAGAATGCCGACTTTTCGCCTCTTATTTAGGAAAAGTGAATTTTCTCATCCACGATACAAAATTTAAAAAAAAGCGGATCGTACTTTTCAGTTTTCAACGTTGGATAAGAAAAAAATAATCTGAATGTTCGGACGAAAAACTCAAATCAAAAAACCTAACTTTGGTAAACATTATCGCTTTTTCCAGTTTTGAGATGGTTCGAGTTTTCTCGATTTTTCGGCATGAAAAAACGTTTCAGAGAACCGAAAACTACACATGCGTGGTCAGCTTGAAAAACTCTATCGAATGGCATATCATAAGTCCAGAAAAAAATACTGCTTCATTTTGCATTAGGTGCACCTTACAAAGATCGGAGAAAAAACACAATGACTACACGTTTTCCTTTCGGACATAGCCATTTACTGATCAGTTATCAGTTTTGTCACTTACAGTTATATCAGTTAAGGGCACCCCTCCCCTTTCCCTCGACCAAAAAATCTACTTAGGTCGAAGTTGCGTTTGACGCATTCCTATGTAGTCCAGACTGTGCCCTTCAATTTGAGATCTAAGCGTATTCAAACAGATGTTAGGTCAAGAAGTTAATCTTCTACGAAAGGACCTGAAAACAGCTTCTTCCAGCTAAAACTTCGAAATTTGCGAAATCGGAACGAAAGACTTTTATGCATGATACAGCAGACTCTTCTGAATCGAACAAGACAAACCGCAGCCTCAGGCGACATCGGGAACCAAAGCCAGAGGAAATAATGTTTTTGAAAAAAGATTCATTCATGAAAAATGAATTTTGGATATTTGCGGGGGAAAACTTCCGATCATTTTTGGCCCTTGCGTCCGCTATTTCTTATGGAAAGAAGCATCCGGGAATTCTGAGTTTATCGCAACTTTTGCTTTGCTAGTCGAGATCTATCTACCCTGAAAGTTTCGAAATTTTTGGTCGAGCCATTCTTAAGAAACCCGTGAAAGTGAAAATGCCCTTAACCTCAATGCCCTTAACTCATTTACACTTTTTTCATTCTGATGATGACAGCGGATTCTGTCGAAATATCAATGAAATAAATACATTATGATTAGTTAATCATGTTTATAGCAGTTCTGTACTTCATTACCTCATTACGTGACTATTTGTTGAGTAATTTCAGAAGGACAGAAAACAGAGAGTGCAATTTTTAGCAAAGATGGAAAAAGGTAATGTTCTGCTATAATTCGGAAGAAAATCAAGTTGAAACAGCATCTATAGGCGATATGTTTAACTGATGTTAGAAAAAAAAGATGCCGATTTTAGATTTGAATGTATTTCTTATGCGTTATGCCTTTTTCAAAAACATTCCTCTCGGATCTGAAATTTCAAAAATACATATAACATATGGTTAACCTGCTGAAGTTCGGAATAACGTTAAAGGGTTTTTCTATCCTCATTTTTTATCTCTGAAAAAACAGCGAAGACATTTTTTACGTACTTTGTGTTATTATATAATCGGCTGATGCTGTAATATTCTTATTATGATGCATGTTTCCAGTTGCATAAACAAAATCAGCATTGATGTAATCACTTTGTTCACCACCTAGTTCATTATCTGCTTGTAGTTTAACTCTCGAAAATTTACTTGGTGGATATAAACCGGCATTACGAGTTTTTTTACGATTACCTCTAAATATGTAGAGAAAAAGAAAAAAAATACATGGATATAAGCTTTACTCTTTCAGAATACGAGCAGAAAAGTATTTCATTATAGTACTCCAAACTAAAACTAATTAAACTACACAAAGTAACAAGTCCTGCATTATAACGCTTTTCGTTTTTCTAAAATAAAATCAGTCCGGGAACTTTTCTAATGCCCTACATAAAAAAACAGCCACTTTTTTTACTCGACCTTGGACTCAACTGAGATACAATCCATATTTTAACCAAGTATCTCAATTGATGGAACATTATTTCTGCGAAAATTTGTTTCTCAATTGAGATACAATTTTGACACGTGTATTGAAGCGTCCAATTGTGCAAGAGTGCAGTGTACAAAGTCTATTATTCAGTAGTGAATGAAATGAAATTAGGTATACGATGTGTTTCTCCTAACTATCTAAGGAATTATCCCCACATTACATGTTCAAATATTACCATGTATTAAATTAGTATCAAGTAATCGCAAAAAACTTAATAACAAAATCAGTGCTTATCAACTGCTCTTCACGTCGTTATGAGTGATTCATGTCTGAATCATGACTTCTCTGAAAAGCGTCTTAGTAAGCAAAATGATATGAAAGTCTCAGCAGTGTCAAGTCCCACAATTCCGTGGAAATTACCAGAATTCGCAGAATTCGATCCGATCAATTACACACGAACAATACGATTCTGGTGCAATTCTACCAGAACTCAACCAGGATCAACTATATTCTCTTTCACACTGAGATGCTCTCTACGAACTGACAGATTCTGCTCAATTCTGCTGTGATTCTGGCAGAATCTGGTGCAATTCTACCAGAATCAACTATATTCTCTTTAACACTGAGATGCTCTCTACGAATTGACAGATTCTGCTCAATTCTGCTGTGATTCTGGCAGAATCTGGCGCAGTTCTAACAGACGTGAGAAGTCACTATATTGTCTTTCACGTGCTACACGACGTTACCGCGACTCGCTTATTGGAAATGAAGAATAAACGAGCCGCGTTTTGTATTCTGTATATCATATCGCGGGAGTCGGGGGGGGGGGGGGGGGAGGGCATGGTGGGAGTGAGTTCGAAAAGTAGGTGCGCAAAAAACAAATTTTTTAAAATGC